CTGACTGAACACCTGTCTGACTGACTGAACACCTGTCTGACTGAACACCTGTCTGACTGAACACCTGTCTGACTGACTGAACACCTGTCTGACTGACTGAACACCTGTCTGACTGACTGAACACCTGACTGACTGAACACCTGTCTGACTAACTGAACACCTGACTGACTGAACACCTGTCTGACTGACTGAACACCTGTCTGACTGACTGAACACCTGTCTGACTGAACACCTGTCTGACTGACTGAACACCTGTCTGACTGACTGAACACCTGTCTGACTGAACACCTGTCTGACTGACTGAACACCTGTCTGACTGAACACCTGTCTGACTGACTGAACACCTGTCTCTCTCTCTCTCTCTGCCTGACCTGTTACCTGTCTCACCTGTGCAGGTTGATGGCGGTGGAGGAAGAGTTAAAGAAGGATCATTCTGACATGCAGGCGGTGGTCGACTCCAAGCAGAAGATCATAGAGACACAGGTACCTGCCTCACCTTATAGATTCACCTGTCTGTCTCCCTCGTCCGTGCCTCACCTGCCCGTTCCACCTGTTTGCCTTTCAGGAGAAGCGGATTGCGAGTCTGGACGCGGCGAACACTCGTCTGATGGCGGCGCTGACTCAGCTGAAGGAGCGCTACGGCGTGACGTCACAGAGGAACGGGCTGTCTCCCAGCAACACCTCGTCCCTTCAGATCACCGAGAACGGAGAGTTCCGCAGCTCTGGGAACTGCTGAGAAGCTGTCACCTGGATGGATGGGCGGGGCTTAACCCCTGCCTTTAGAGGCAGCCGGCAAACACGCTCCGATTTAAACTGATTCAGTCAATCAGCGTTGACGTTGTTTCTACAGACGTGTCAATAGAATGTCAGCTCCTGCTGCACCGCATTAACCTCCGACCTGACCCCGCCCCTGTTGCTAGGTTACCCCTCACTTCCTGTTTTTGTTTGCATGTTCCTCTTTGGACTTTTGGCAAAACAACGTTATTTCCTGTTTACATTTGGAACTTCCTGTAAAAAGAGAAAGAATGGCTCAACAACCAACCATGAACTGTAGACTAACTGACACACCTGCACAGGTAAGCTCAGACGTTTCCGTCCAGTCGTCATGGAGATGAAGGTTATTTTGGTTTGAGAGCTGAAAGAAATTTACTGGAACCAGAGAATTAGCATTTCTTGTGAAAATGCAGCGTGAATGCTTGATGCTGAAAGATTTCTCCTAAAAGCTGCCGAAGAAGCTAAAGGCTAAGCTGCTAATGTGAGGTAAATTTGAACAGCTGACTTTAGCTGATAGTAGGAAAACCAAAGTAGACATCAGCAGAAACAAGCTAAAATTCGCAGACAGATGGTGAACAGAGAGTAAAAATAAAAACAAGAACAGTACTAAATTTACATTTTGTTGTTAAGTAGCTAAAGCATTCAAAATTAGCAGAAAAATAGCTGATAAGAAGCTGGAAAAGCTGAAATTAGCACAGATGCAGGAAGACCACGTTTGCTGAATTAAACAGTAAGAAGCTAAAACTGTCACAAAAGGTGAATTTAGATGAAAAAAATGCAATTTAGCTGAAAATAGCTACATAGTAGCTGAAAAGGCTGAAAAACAGTTGAAATTGGCAAAAATCATCTAAAAGAAGCATAATTTTTATTTTATTTTATTTTATTTTAT